TGGGCTTGTACCCCTTCGAGGTTTCCTTCTCTTCTATGGGAGTATCATCGCTCAGATCCACACTCTGTCCAGCACCAGAGTAATATCACCAGCGGTGGTCGAACTCCTGTCAATTCCATCACAGGTTGTAGCGGGTAATTTGTGACTTCGAGAGGAGCGGACATCATGGGAAGAGGCATCGTCAGCAATGATATCATGCATCTCTCGCAGGGTGCTCTACAATACGTGTGGACGAGTGCGCGCCACGCAAGGGGTTCATGGTCAGTAGCTCGAGCGACTGCATGGTCGTCTACAGCGGGCCGCCACATCGCACACTGAGGGCGACCTCCGGCTTTCTCGGACTGCCCCAAATGGGTGTCGATATGTCACACAGGTCACCGAGCGGGGAGTCACGGGGGTAAAGCCACCAGACGTTCGAGTGTCCGGATGCCCCCGATTTTTCGCATCCGCTTCACACTCCGAACGTCTGGTCACGAGACTAGGCCGAAACAGGACAGGGAAATATTGAGACGGTGCACGAGCCGAAGCCCGTACAAACCGCGAGGTTCCCCTGAGGACATGGTCGCCGTGCTATGGGAGACCCCCACGGCCCACGAACCCTGGTACATGAAGGGGTCCGTGCCATCAAGGTAAGTATGAAGTGTTGCGACATCCGGTGCGGGGTTATATACTGCAAGACGTTGCGCACGGACCAGGCGCAGGGTTTGGTTCGCCGCAAGCGACGGAGGATGAGGCGGCTACCGGTTTACCTAGTCGAGATGATGGGACCACTTTTACATCGACGCGCCAGAGCGCGCAATATGTACACAGATGACGACCGCAAGCTGAATTTGACGGCTTGCGATGCTCGATAAATCACGATCGAAGGCACGCGAAAGCGGGGTGACAAGAAAGAATGCACTAGCATTGTACAAATTTATTAGATTTGTCTACTTCGGTACCATACCTCTCGAACCCATCGCGGTGTGCGGATCAGTCCTCGTCCCAGTTGCCCGCTTGCTGTGGTATCTTCGGCCCACCAGCGGGTCTACTCATGATGATCGCGTCGACGCTGAGCACGGACGTCGCAGCCTCGGTCGCGAGCTTGATCGCCCATTGCTTCGCGGCGAGCGAGTCCAGGATCTGGTGCTCCGTTGCGGATAGCGTTCCATCCTTTTCCGCCTAGAGTAGGATCACATGAGTTAGCATAAACTCAATGAACGAAGAATAGCTACTCACCTCGACGTCAACACCCCACACCGCTCCTTCCGGGCCTTCATGCTTCGCATACAGTCTGCTGACAACCTCGTTCCCCTCCGCACCGCCAAGTGCGTTCTCCGCCAGCGTCCTCGGTACCACCTCCAACGCCTGCGCCCACCTCTTCACCGCGTGCTGCGACAGGCCCTTCAGCCCGTTCCCGTACGCCTCCACCCTCTTCGCCAGCTCCAGCTCCGTCGCTCCGGCACCTGGCACCAACCGCGGGTCCTTGATCAGCGCCTTGATCACGTTCACCCCGTCGTCCACCGCACGCTCAAGATCGTCCAGCCGGTTTTGTGTCGCGCCCCGGAGGACGATCGTCGCCGTCCGCGTCTTCTCCGAGCCCCCTGCTGGGTCGTACTCCGCGTCGCCCTCGACAAGCTGCCGGAGGACGGTGACGCGGTCGCCCCCGATCTCGATCGTCTCGAAAACGTCCACGAAGCCTGCCTCCTCAGCTGTGGGTGCGCCGACGCGCGCGAGTGGTGTGGCGTTGACCACACGGCAGAGGCGGCGCAAATCGAACTTGGAGAGCACCTTGAGGACCGCGATGCCCAGCCGATTCAGGTAGTGCATCGCGAGCTCGCCGACCGCTGACCCGGCGATGATCACCTTCACGCCCGAGTCGGCGATCTCTTCGAACATCTGCGACGTTTCGCGTCAGGAACAGGTTATGACTCGAACACGAGGCGGAAGTTGAGGGCAGAAGTGCGACGACCGACCTTCTCGAGCTGCTTCTCCTCGCCACGCGTAAAGTTCAGCATCTCCTCCGCGTTCTTCAGAAGCACCGTGCCCTTCGTCTCCGTCTGCGCAATGTCCAGTGCCGTGGTGAACACGGCGACCTTCGCCTTCTTCGCCTTTTTCACGATGCCTACCCCGTACGATGTTAGGTCGAGCACATGAAATCACCAGATCCGAGACGCATACCTTCTGGTTCTCGGCCAAAGACCATACCACGAACGACAGTGCTACCACTGAGGTTTCCGCCCATGATTTTCACCACGCGGACGTTGTCGACGTTAAAGTTTTTAGGATTGGGCGGCATGACGGCTAATGACGCCTCCGCAACTAGGCCCGCGAGCTGGTCTTCGTAGCCATACTGCTTGGAGGCAATCGCAGGCTTCAACGCAGCGGCAAGCGAGGCCTTGGTCAGGGGTGAGGGTAGTGATGATGTCGAGAGTGCTGTACCGGATGGTTGGAGGAGTAATCAAAAGCGAACGACACGGAGTACATACATTCGAGTTCAGAAAGAGCCTTGACGGACGCGAGCTCATAGCCCTTGATGATCTCGCTAGGGTGTAGACCCATGATCAAGAGATTCTCGGCCTTCTTGAGCATCTCTCCCGCGAGGATCAGGACGCTGTTGGTCGCATCGCCCATCTATGCAGCAAATCAAAGTCAATACCGCTGGGAGTGCAGATCGAGTAGAGGGTCGCGTGAATTCGCGTGAATTGAACGTGGGGAGACTCACCTCAGCTTCCTGAGCTTGGGACGCCATCACCAGCAGCTTAGCTGCGGGATGGACGACCTCGATCTCGCGAATGATCGTGGCCGCATCGGAGGTGACGAATAGCCTGCCCAGATGGTTGATCACAAGCTTATTCCGGCCTGCGATATGAGGATGTCGTTATAGCGTGTGCCGTGAGTGGTAGAGCTGCAGACACGCACCATTGGGCCCAAAACTTGTCCTGACCAGATCCGAGAGCTCGGCTACTGCCTGGATGTTCCGGAGGACTGCATCTTCGAGCCCGGACAAATGCTGCAAGACGCGTCGGATACAACGTCGAAGCTGATTGCAGGTCACGGACTGACCTTGTACCCGTCCTTGAAGAGCTGGATGTTTTGGGCTTTTGGAACTTTGAGAGACATTGGACAAAGATGAACCGCAGAGCGAGGTCCGCGTATAGCAAGGAATCCAAGATGGAGGGCGGACGAGATTTCCCGTGCGTCCAAGGTTTGTGGCGCCTGTGTCGGGCGTCTGTTCCAAGTAGGCAGGAATAACAATATTTCATGAACTTGCCTCTCGCTCCTTAAGTGTCTCTCATCGATTCGCATTGAGGTTATTTGGCCATGTAGGGCTCCTGCTTCATTTTTCACTCCCTTTCTTAAGTCGAGAGGCTCACATCGTCTTGGAACCATTCCCACGTCTTGGTTCTTTCATGTACGAGTTCACCCAGCTTTCCAAAGAGCAACATGGAACGCACATGCTGATGATTATATTCCGGGCAACTGGGATAGTCGCTTGAAGCTCCTGACCTAACAGTGAATGCTAATCCAACGCTAGAGGGTCGAGTGGAGATTCCTACAAATTTGGGATCATGCTTGGACTCCTTTCCTGCCGCCAGTTATATCAAGGACAGCTCAAAAGGATCTCCGAGGTTCTTTTTCCACCTCACCAGCTTTCCTGAATCGCTTTCATTGCAAAGCATTAAGAGTGGAAGTATTATTGGTCTTAAGACACATGAAACCGGCGACGAACAATATGGACCGATGCAAGCAACCGGTTGTCCGATATCTTAGAACATAGAGCTACAATTACGGCAAGCAAGCACGTCTACTCACACTGGCATTAGGCATCACGCTCAGCAATGATAAGGCTGAGCTATCCGTGAATGGAGACTAGGTAGGACGAATGGCGGAATAGTCGCAGCGAAACGTTGCTGTGACACAGGGACCGCATAGGCTAGAGGTCCGAGGTAGTGCCTGAGACGCAAAGTACATTAATGAAGTACTCATGGCGCCCTAAAGAGACGATAACCTCACATACAATGAAATTCAGGCTGAGTTGACAGGAAATCATGATTCCATAGCGAGATGTCGAACAACGACATGCTCACTGAGCCGAATCATACACGAATTCTTTCTCATAGAATTCTTTTAGCGTTATCGGAAAATATTCGTGTCTAGCGTATTTGGATTTACAGCTAACATGTGTAGTAACCCTAGGGATGGCCACTCGGATGAGATTAGCAACTGTAGAGTTTGGGCCGTGACGCTAACCTAATTTAAGACTGGAAGACACGCTCTTGGAGCTTCCCCCAGAGATATCCATCGCAAACATGAGCGGATAGTCCACAGAAACCAAGGACCAACGACTGTGGCGTGGTATCATCTGTAGCACTGGCGCAAGACGTCGAAACGATGGGTCAACGCCTCAAAGACAAGGCACAAAGGCTCTGGAGCCGAGACACGCCTCGTATCTCTGGGACGTCGTCCAGACCCTGATCCCATTTCTCCAAAAGTTTGAGAGCAATTCATCATCTTCTCTTTCGTACGGCCGGAAGCAAGGCCTTGCTGGAGGCGGGCTGGTCATGGTAGTCCACGAGGGACGTAACACAGACAGGGCCGCCCTCAAGGTTTGTATATCTGATCCGTTGGTTCAGGAGGGTACATTTAATTCAGGTATCATAGAACCTAAGTTGTAAAGAAAACACCACCGACAGTTAAAGCGCGAGCCCGTCTTGGACAAATAGATATTGCTAGGATGGTTGAGTCCATTGGCTGCCGGGACCACGAGGAACATGCGACGGCTTGGATTATGTCCCCAAAAAGCTGAAATTTTTGAGCAGGGAAATGAAGCATATAGCTCTGGGGAGCGAAAGGTCGTCAGCATGCGGGAATCAAGCGGTGAAATAACCAGGTATACTTAGAGGTGGTCGGGCGGTCGCAGACTCCAGGTTCCCACGGGTCTCCGTGCCTATCTAGCTGGAACGAGGTAGTCGCCGTGTCGTAACACTCCTCTACAACCATGACTCCCTCCTCACTCTGCATCAATGCCTCTGGAGATCCGTGAAAAATAGCGTCGGAGAAGCCCTTCAAAGATCCAAGACCCTTCAGGACGATGACCCTCGAGATGATAACGACGCCGCCATAGACCTTCGATGCTGCGTTGTGCCACTATTGCCGTTAGACTGTCTCAAGTAAGTCTTGTAAGCAGTCTTCACAACGTGCATAATGGGACACTCACCTGTACTTGGCCTACTCAAGTAGCCCATGGATTTCCGCTAGCCAGGAAGGGTTGGACCGTCTCCGTTCCACATTCAACCCTCATCCCCCCTGACAGGACAGCCGTAGCTAGTCGACGCTTTACCGTCGCAACACTTCCAACAAACCAACCGCCGTCCATGGTGAGTGACTTGGCCGTCCTGCGACCTACAGGGCATAAGGTTGACGTTATCTTGGACTGACGCCCATTGCGCTGTGCTCTGTCGGACGTTTTGAGGCCTTGTGACACGTGTGCTACCGCCTCCAACTTCAACGTGTCGCGGAAATTAAGTAAATTAAGCCTGGTATGGCCATCAGCTTTCAAGTTTCTGGGCCGTTTGCTGAATTGGTAAGATCGATGCGACGCGCACGTTTGTTTGAAACTCATCTCATACACCGTTTACTCAATATAGATATTGCACATGCTCCGCCTACCAAGGCCGCCGATTCCCGCCAGCTCGAGAACGGAAGTTCGCGGCAGCGTCTGACATCAGGTATGCAACGGGACCACAGTGTGATGCACTATATTCGTTACAGTGACGAAGTTTGTTCACTGTGAGCTGGTGCAGCCCTGGAGTGGTGTGATGTCATACACGGGATCACCACCGATCCATGTCAATTTGGGCGATGCATGAGACTGAACTGCGGCTCCCACCCGGCGCAGGGGTCAGGCGTGTTTCAGAACCAAGTTCACCGGCTGACGCAGGAGCCACTAATGGTCTGCATTCTCTGTCACATTGTGGTGGGTTATAGCTCTTCCCTCAGCTGGTTTCCCCGAGCGGCTTCCACCTACCCCTTGCAGTCTCGTCTAACAAACCAACGCTCTAGCAGCTCCGCTATGGCTATCCTTATTGTCTTTGAATTGAGTGCAGCTCATTTGCAACTTTGGGGTATATGAAGACTCTAGTTCCTCCACCACCGGTCCTGGGGATGGCTTCGGGTAGATATATGGCTACCCTGTTCTACACGTACCCATACCATAACTTTAGGCGAATCGCCGGAGCGTCTGCGGCGGACTACGATGCTAGTGCCTGCGGACATGTCGAGGATTTGGTCCGGCTCAACCGGGCTGCATATTGCCGAAACCACGGCAAGCCATACGTCTATGGCAACAAGCGAGGTCTCCCCAGCATGAGAGGGACTCCGGGGTGTCTCCAACCCTATCCGATGATCTAGCAGCTTAGTTCTGACCCGCGTGAGCTGTTGTTCCTCCTAGCTTTCAGCTGACCTGAATCAACTTGACTAATACTCGAATCTCAGCGAACGGGCACTGATATTTAGAAGAATCTTTCCACCCCTCCGCGACTTGTCGACAGGCCCACGGCCCTATCACCAGGGTCACAGCACTCAAGGTCTTTTTGTCTGGCGCCGTTGATGTCGGAGACGTAGCACCTCGTGGCGGGACCGAACTTGACAGGACCCGATATCGTACATGCCGGATATCTCCACGCCTGCTATGTTATCGATTGCTTTGGAGCTGTCAACAGAGCACTATTTTCCTACTTAACGTTACCTGACTCGCACGGTGACGATGCTCGCGCTCCATTGGCCATCCGGAAGGCTCAACTCCTGGACCCGCTCTAGAGCAATCCAAGTCTTCACCGAGAGCACCTCCGTCTCGATGACATATGTCACGCCTACGTTGACTTTGCACTTTCCGTCTAGAAACTCCAGACCATCAAGCCATCGTTGCGATCGGCACCACTCATAACCTAGGGTCCGTCAGAGGATGGCAGGCTATGTGAGTAGACGTCGAGACTATGATGGGTACGACACGGGTTTATGCCTGGATCGTAGTCCTGGCGCTGGTATCAGCGACACAAGGGAAGTCGGGACTGAAGACGAAGACGATTGCCTCTGCCGCCGCCCACCAACGGAAGACAAGGGTGGCGTACTCCTCTTACACGAGAATCACCATGGCACTATTGGTTCCCCCGCGAGGATTTAGTATGACTAGCACCATCGCAACAGAATGCCCGGATCGGTGGTAATTTGTTGCTTCGAACTCAAATACTGTCGTGGAACTCTTACCAGTTCTAGATCTGCGTGCTTGTCTCTACAGCTCGCTGGACAGTGTAGCTGATGATATCAAGCAACAGCTCCACGCTGACATACTCTATATTACAGATGACAGCAGCGTCATACTTGCACTTGGTCGCATGATAATTTCTTCTAGGAAGGGTGAGCAGTATGCACTCGTACCATCTGCGACATCTATGCTGACCAACCTGAAAATATCTCAGGTGACCGGGTGGCGGCTCTGTGACATGCGTTGTACGTGGGCAATCTTACCGCGGGATCTACAGACAGAATGAAGTGCGCGCTGTTTTCGGCGTAAGTTTCCGCACAGGATAGCTTGGTGTCGGGAAGTAACGCATGTCTCACCTCAACTGGGTGTCTCATGCGTTGCAGCCTCGCAGGATCAGGCCTCATTTCACCTAGTACCCGTACAGTATCCATCGTGTATACTTCAGTCAACATGCCAGAGCCCTGAACGAGCTCGTTTTAATGTGTTACGCTGCTTCCCCCCCTGAGCAAAATATCCCATGAAAACATAGTCACTTAGCACAGGGTAGCACTACGGTATGCTACCTGGAATGTTCATCCACGCTTACATCTATCCCGTATTACACGTACTTGAACGAGATCGAGTTGATGTTCGTCATACTCCGACGCGCATCCTCTTGTTGAGGGGGGCGGCTACCAGAACACGCGCCCACGGACGCCCGGCCGAGGACAGTATTTCAGCCTTCTCCTACCCCATTACGACTGGTTCCATCCCTTCGAGCATCTTTCATGTTCGTGCGCATGCCGCGCAGGGACCTCACAGACGAGGGCAAGGCTCTCCGCCTCAGTACGTTCACCCAACATCATCGCTCGCCTCACCACTTTCACATCTCCTCTTCCCAGCTCTCTACGCTAACGGGCACCGTCCGACCAACCAAGAGAAGTGGGCTGTGTACGCCCAAATCGTTGCTCTCCCTGGTTGTCAGTGGTACAGTCGCCACCTCCACTCGAACTGGTGCTCGGAGAACGATCGGGTACTCGCGAACGCACTCCGAGGTACGACGAGTCCCTTCAGCTCCCATTTCCTGTGTCATGCCAACCCCCACCCAGATTACATCGTCACGTGTCTTCACTTCGTCCCCAATCCCACACTCCAGCAAATGGTCTTATGGGCAAACCAAGCCGGCTATGACGAACGCCAGGTAGTCGCTGCGACTCTGGAGGAGTTCCTGTCCCGCAACTATGTCGTACGTTCATCCCCTTTTAGCGTGGACCTCGCCTCTTTGGTCGTCTCCTCGTGGCATCCTGTTGACCTGGCCTCCTTCTCGCTCTCAGGGACCGCCCGGCAACGGTGGACCGTAAAACTTTGTGAAGCGTAGGGAATCGCCGTTGCCTCTCCGATTCATCATTCAGGCTACGCCCCTCCCTCGACCCGATTCGTCGCTCCATCTCACACCCTTCGATCACAGCCATTCGGCTCCGTTGTAGCTGCTCCTTGCTTTCTCGATGGCTTTCGTTTTGATATCGATGCTTTTCAGGCTACATTTGACTAGACTGTGCGCCATAGACGATCAGTCTCTAGAGAGATTCAGTGTCTGTACTTCTGTAGACTGTCCGCGCAGGGACCTTTGGCATGTTCTCGATGAAGTGGCACTTGGGCGTGTTGTAGCGCTCTAGTCCTTACGGCGCGTGAGCTGTGCGTTCGTGAGAGATAGCCTTAGGAGAAGTCGACCCTAGACGCAGACAACGTCTCACGAAGTAGCGCAGAGGTAGTGGACGGTGCTTGGATACACACCCGCGATACGAGACCTCCAGGCGCATAGGGCACCGTCAACTTGTGCGCTGTGCCTATCGACCCTCTATCGATCAATGTCGGCGATGCAGAATCTGCCAGTGAGCACCTCGTGAGCTCATTTTGAGAACGGCTATTTCATCTCCGTCTGCACGAGGAAAGTAGACGCTTATCCAGTTATCCTAGAAGCAGTGTGATCAAGGTGCGGGCACTGTTCAGATGTAGGAAGCGTCGAGAGGAGGCTGTTGCTGTCCGGATCCCACCCGCGAAGCCAAAGAAATGGATTTGCCCAAAGTGTGTATGCAAGACCCGGTGGGCTTGGAAGGTATATGTGCTTCTCACGCATGTCCATGAAGGCACTACGACATCAGCAAAAAGGTGTAAGGTATGGTCGGGCATGTGCAGGTTCCGCATTACCGGCCAGATTCGCAAGGTATGACCAAGGGATGACGGAATCTGGTAGAGAACCGCGAGGAATCACCGGGCATGGCCAGAGGTGACTGGGCGCCTGGACAATGCTTGTCACTTCTAGCAGAGTGTATGGTCTTCGCGTACCATACCGCGGTAGAACTCTGGCCGATATTGCACATTCTTGACTAAGTCAAGGAACATAGATGATCAATGCTTGGTGCAATTCCTGCCACGGCTGCCCAAGTTCAAACTACGGAACGGTCATTGATCATGTTGGTGAAGACAGCTGGCCGACAAATTACAACACAATCGGAGTTTGTACTTTCGATGATAAATGATAATTTAACACAGACTACTATACATGAAAGATGTCTAGATTACTACTCGCAGAACTCGGCGAGGTTAGGGTTAGTAGCACCAGGCCAACAAAGAACTTACGCAGTGGCTGAGGTGGAGAACAACGTCCTCGCACAGAAATCTTGAGTCACACACCCTGCAGAACACGGGAATGAAGTGAGACAATTCGACGCACAGAGAGGGCGAGAGCAAGGAGGAAGTGGACGGCGGCCATGATGAATTGTTAGCAGCGGCAGCAGATGTCAGCGGTGACGCAGTCGAACATACCCATGTTGATGATGAGCTCGCGGAGCTGCGGAGCGAAGGCGACTGAGCGGACTGTCTTCTCAATGGGGTTGCAGGCGGGGTTTGGAGTGAGATGTGCATGATGGCTGGCAAAAGCGGGAAGGCACATACACGTGCGAAGTAGACGAGGCCGATCTCGAAGCGGGTGAGGTTGTATGCGCAGACCTGCTTCTTGAGATCGTGGGGAGTGGCGAAGGAGTTGTAGCGGAGGTAGACAACGCCGTGAAGCGTGAACATGAAGTCGCGGTGGGTGGAGAGCTTCGTGGGTGCACGCTCGTGGTTGAGCCGGGTAAAGATGGACTTGAAGGAGTACAGCCGAGAGGTAAGGGGTTTTGAGAGCGACACTTCAGGGCAGGGTTGGCAGGATGACAGGCTGTTGGATTTGTTGCAAGTATAGACTGTGTCATCGATGAGCAGGCTTGAGTGATTTGTTGAGAGTCAATATAGAAGCTTAGAAGGGTGAGGATCATGAAGGGAACGTCACCATTTGAGGCAGACAGTACTGCGGCTGTCGATTGACACCTCGGCGCTCTCCACGGTGGGGTCAGTGAGAGTCGCAAGCAAAACGCAGTGTGCCCATGTGTCCTCCTTCGCCCCGTATCGCTCATGACTGGAGCGGTGAGGAAGAGGTGTACATCCGCGCTCAAAAATCCTGGCGCATGACGCACAAGCAGGAGGAGCGCATAGACCTGGAGGCGGCGCGCGCGGAGGCGGAGAGGAGGATGATCGGGAGCGCGCTCGAGAGAGAGGGAGGCGGCTGTGGTGCAACGGATAGCAATAATAAGTCAATGATCAGAATCAGCAGGGCAAGATGTATGCCTATCTACCATTGCCAGGATTCATCCGCGCAGATGCTCAACGGCCAGAATCCGTCAGGCGAGACGGAAGTTGGCCAGTTTCAGGCGGCGCTTGCGGATTCCGGACAGGGTAGGCCGGTTTCGGGCGCCGTGACCATGCCAGACCATTAGTTGCTGGTTTTGCTGATGTAGCAGGCCCATATCCCGGGATTCTCTTCCTCGCATTTCTCAACTTGCGTGAGTCCCGGCTCTCGTGGCCGGTCGCCGAGTTCAACTTTCCCTGAGCGACGAGCGTTACGACATCTGAGCGCTTACATACTTTCCTCCGAAGATGTGAATCGGAGTAGAAAATCGCTGGCTCCCGCAACGATGCGGGGGGAACGTAGGTTTCACAGCATGGCCGGCCACGACCACGGCCATAGTCTTAGTCGTGACCGGCTATGATGGCAGCCAGCGGGCTACGCGAGGATACAGCGAAATCTGAGAGAAAACAGGAAATGCAGGCGCCGGCTACAGCGCACCAGGCCCGTAGGAGAGTGTAGCCAGAGCACCCCTCTCAACATGTAGAATGACTCCCAAAATGTCCTAAAAGTTCATTAATTCTGGGATTCCTTGTATTACTCCTGGTATGTTCAAGGAGCAAAGGGACTCAGAAGTTGACTGTATGTTGAGGACCGGGAGGAGTCGGCTTTCCCAGGCCGGGAGACGCCGGCTACGGCCGAGGAACATTGAGATTTTCGACGGGAGCGCTGAGAAATGGTAAACAGACTGTAGCTGGCTACGTCCACATAGTCGTGACCGGCCATGCTGTGAAACTGACATTCTGAACGATGCTGTCTCGACCTCTCAATCATTCTCAACGCATGGCATCCATTTCAATCCACCGGTACTCTTCATTCCTTAACCACTACCACCCAACATATCAAATACGCACCGAAACCTAGGGGAAATCCCACTGCGATGACAGTCACACTCGGCTCTCGCCCTCTTGAACAGCGACATGCTGACCTTGCAGCGTACAAGAACACGAACCTTCAGGAGGCGTCTGCTTTTTCGGCGGAGCGCTCAGCTTATGAGGAAGGCGTCGCGGAGGGCTTGAACCCGGTGTTGGAGACTTCGGAACGAGCTATTGAAGTGCGTTCTATATTGCTGCGAGACCTAGGAGCTACTGACACAGTCCCTTTCAGGAACTCGACCTTGTCCGTTTGAACGAACACGGTATCAAATCTGCTGCAATATACGTGGGTCCCTCCGCCTGTTGACTGAACCAGGATCAGAGCACTGAACTCTTGAGCGCGGTTGCAGATTCATTACCAAATGCAGCGAGGATCGTACCTCCCGCGCACATGGCGCACCCATCCGCTGCACTTATGTCCGGCCGATCCGTTCTCTTGGGACGATCCCTCTACACTTGCCTGCTTGAACTGGATCTTCTTCATCTCGTCACTCAACTTCAGCTTCTGGTCAGAACTCGAGGGCCAGCCCGGTCGCTATGGGGTCGAGTGGCGGGAGGGGTGGGGGGAGGAGAGGACGGTGGTGCATACGGGATACTGGTCGCTTGTCGCTGCCGTAGATCGAGGTGAGTAACTGTACATCATTAAAGGCTCCTTGTTCAGAGAGGAACCATATGAGCCTACGCACCGCAGACGAAGCTCAGTGCTCACGCGTCCCCATTGCAGCGCTCGAAGAGGGCATCCCGATCACCGACCCCGCATTCTACGCATCCGAGGGTTGCTGCACGGACTCATTGATCGAGCACGTCTTCCGGCCAGCTAGCCAGTCGGCAGAGACTATCCCCCTTCTGCGCGAGCGCATCGCGATCTTACGTGAAGTTGGGACTATTCTTTGTCAGGTCAGTCACGTTCCGCTCTCACGTTCCCTAACTCAGTCTCCTCAAACGCGCTTTGCAAGGAGTTTGGAGGGTCGTTCTATGGTTTTGTGCAAGCGTTCCGACGGCGATACAGCGATCGTGGCACCGCGCTCCAGCTGGTCAAGATGGTCGCGGACACGTTCCCGCCCTTCCGTGACGAACACGTGCTAAACGGCCGACGACGAGGTCAGTCATGCCGTCTCTTGTTCTCCTGCATGATCTTACCCAGACCATTTGTGCAGTGTACATGTGGAAGCGCGCGCAGATCCTCGTCGCAGAGACCTGGGCAGCGTTCTACCCGGAAGACGCCTCCACGCCGCACCCGCTCTTCCCCGCGGGGCCCGCGATCCACGAGCTGACGATGTTTGCGGACTACCGCGTGCCGCAGATCCTGCATCACCTCCGCATGCTGATCTACCCGCCTTCCTTGGTCAAGCTGCTGAACTCACGCACGCCGCTCGCGTCGGGAAGTCCGGAGGAGCTGAGCATCCGCGCGGCGAGCGTTGTCGCCGTCGATCGTGTCCGGCAAGAGATATTGCGCATCATCTCGGACGAGGAGAGCGGGGAAGGGCAGAGCGGGCGGGCTGGAGAGGACGCGGTGAGCAGCGTGATGATCGACTTTTACTTGTGGGACCTCGCGAAGCGCGTTGAGGGCCGGCCGGAGGGCGTCGAGGGCATTGAGACGGACGCGATGCTGCCAATCCACCGGACTCGGTCGATTTGGTATTGACTGCTGTCTACAAGTCGTGTACAGATGTGCCGCTGGTGATTGCAGTGCTCAGCAGGCGTATAACCTCCGTCTGCTCAAGACTCCGACACCTTCCTTACTCAGTACACTATTCAATACTCTCGTCTCCAGCATTACAACCTGTATACAAGGCAGTCGCAGTGATCCGGAATGAAGTTATGTGGCTCATGTCTGCCCCATCAATTGTCAACCTATGGCTTCCCGGCATTCCCCTGGGTGTCGTTGCAACTGCATTGCAATGTACAACTTCTCACCTCAATATTCACTCTTTGCCAGTCTCGACCCGCAAGTTCTGGCTCTCCTGGAGTCTACAATCAGTGCGGTGCATCTTGGTATGTAGCTTATTGAATCACCAGTTTTCTGACCTGCTATTTGCCATCGGCCCGTTGCCGCTTGCGTACGTGGCGCACGCTTCGCCTCGCATCTAAGCATAGGTTTCTGGGATTGGAAAGCAAAAGTGCCAGATGACAGTTGACTCTGTTTGTTGAATGGGTCGAATGCAGTAAGCACTCTTTGTCACTTGCACAAATAGGATAGGCTCGGGCGGCGAGAAGCGCGGGCGACGTTAACGTCCTGGCCCCGCTCGCTGTGCCTCTATCCTCTGCGCTACTTTCTTCTTTCCTTGCAGGGCACGCACCCTTCCTTCCCATCGGATCCGCTATCCCATCTCTGCGGTTCTCACCCGGAGGACAAACTGGCAGTACACTCTTTCGCTCTTGTACGTGGCCCCCTCTATCATAGCCATCTGACATACTGCCGCCTAGGTGTCTCGAGTCTTGGGGTGTGGGCTATTGGTTTGACCGAAGCACATACCCTGGCTGAAATTACACCACACCGTGGTCACTGCGAGAGCCAACTCCATCGGGATCTGCTCACTGCCTTCCGTCGTCTTGTCATCGTGACCTTGGTGTCTACCAGGGTGACGCCTACCATCTGTTACTTGACATCGTTCTTCTGGCTTTTGCGTCTATGTCTCTGGCGACCTATGAGCCTATAGAGGACACTGCCTACCCCTCGGTTTTACTCTTGCGCCCTGTCTGCTAGGAAGGTGGACGTATGGCCGGCTGGCTAAGTCACGTGACCAACTGACTTCGCCACGAAGCCTCTGCGACGGCGGATCGCCACTTTGAAACATAGTCAGCCTTGTCTATGGAACCAACCGGGTGCAGCTCCTCAACCTGCGGAATGTGTTGGATGTGCGGGCCTCCTGCAGCGTTATTCACCGTATTATGCGCGACAACCTTGGAGTTCATACGACGGATGCAAACGGGCCATTGTACTACTTCGTTACCATGAATCCATAATGCACAATATTTTGGTGTCATGCCAAGGCGTGGTACATTGCTGTCGCGACTGTGTGCGTATAGTGCTGTAGTGGATATGACACTACGACGACATTGATTGCCTCTACTCATGGTCACGGGAGTCGGCATAGACGAAATAGAATGGTTGTTATCGATCGTAAAGGACGAACCCACATCAAGTCATCTGCGACTCGGGCACAGGCCATGCGCTCAGTTGGGGCAGCAAAAATGAGCGAGACAAAAGCAAAGGCGCGAACGGCGAACGCAGCCTTGGTTTCTTGGAGTCCGACCGGCCTCGGGCGCCTACTAGTGTGCGGCCGTGCCAGTGTCCGTCCCGGACGGACAAACTGCTCGCAGGGCCCTCAGCACAACATCCTCCACCTGCTTGCCACTGGGTGGTACACTTCACATCTGTCCATCTTATCTCTGCGTCGGCCAGAGGACCCCTTGCGACACATTCTGTCCATTGGTATGCTGTGACAACAGCGGCGATTCGCTTTGGCGCATCCAGCTCTCGTATTCAGCTTTCCGGGTGATGCATTCAGGTATGAACATCCCTATGCGCGAAACTTTTACCGGACATGCTAGGAGTCACCCATCACATATCTGCGATCGCGAGTTCCGCTCGGGTGCCCTGCCGCCACGTTCTCCTTCGACCATCGGGCAGTGTCATAGTAGCCTATGGGCAATGAAGGACATATAGCAGGATTGCCTTCGCATGCACAAGTAGTGCATCGATACCCTCCAGTCCGTACCCATTGTCATCGAGGTAGGTGGCCGCCTCCTCAACCAAGGCCGGTTCTCCAGTACGCCACGTACCCGGATGACCCATTATACCGAACTACTCCTGCCCAGGCGCAGCCCATCCTTGCTGAAGAGTCGCGACGTACGAAAAAGCGGAGCCAACCGCGGGACTCGAAGATGCGTCGCGTTCCCTTCGCCGATGAACCCATCGCCATGGATCTGCCAAACCACCCGCCACGAAACGCTTCGGCTATAGATGCAACCACTCGGCCTCGTTCGCGCTCCCTCAGCATAGCTCGCGTGCTATCACCCATCTGACCAGCCGTTAACCGAGCTATCCCTCCAGTACGCTCTCCCGCTCGTACGCCCGCGGCGCATACGGTCCATGCACCACCACTTGGAACTCCTGCGTCTGCCGCCCAGGTCTATGACCGACTTCGCCACCACCACACGAATCCTTCACGACTTGCTCACGTACTTCCCTTCCGGCCTCTGGGACATGAGACGCAACGCGAGACCGACGCACCATCCCCTAAACAAGCCACGCTTAACGCACCATATGATCGTCCGAATCTACCCTACATTGCGTTGGATATCTTTGATGGATGTCTCCGCGTCGTTAATTTTGTACTGACCGTGTTCCAACTGTCCAGATGGCTGAGGCGGCCTCTTCATCCGGCAGCAACGTCCGCGGTCTGTTACTGCACAGTCTGATTACTGACTCTTCCTAGAATTTAGGAATATATCTCTAGGGCTCGAAAAATGGGATGGGCATTGAAAGCGTTAAATGCGACTGTGCGGGGCTCATGGAGGTGAACAGTATAAAGGCCGTCGGCAGCGGTCCTGAGGCGCGGGAATTTATGAATCCTCACTTCATCCTCAATCACGACCATCCCCTATTGGTCCACGCATCTGTCACCACCTCTCGTCTGCGCTGACATTCCCTGTCCCATTTATCTCTCCCTAGACCAAAATCTCGAAGGCTAAGAGACCTCAGCAACTTGCCACCAAGATGTCTGGAGCCGCAGCCGCCAGTATGGACAGCAAGGCCTCGGACAAGAAGGCAACGAAGTTCTTCCTTCCACGACCAGCGGTCGACCTCCGTGAAGGTAGGCCCATATAACCTTCTGGTTTGATACATTTGATGACTCGGAGCTGACGAACAACCTCGTCTCCCTCGCTCCATGCTTGAAGCACTATACGCCAACGGACGACAGCCTTCTGACTCAGAGAAGTGGACGGCATATGAATTGATCGTCAAGATGGAGGGCTGCGAGTCGTACGCGCGCAAGACGCACTCGAATTATTGCACTCACATCGAGCGTAAGAGGAAGGCAGGATTGAAAGGCAGGTTTCTCATATTTGACATCACAGCGCTCACGCGGAACCCACAGACACGTCTCCCAACACCTGATCGATGATCATCTCTGAAACATACAGATCACGTCGCGGCATGGCTACAGCAAGTCCCCAACCCGTCTCTCGCCGACATGCTCTTGTGGTCGCGCGTGCTTCAGGTGTCCCCGTCCATCGTGTTCGAGATCATTATAGAGGAGGTGCCGCGTGGCGTTACAGAGTTTGTGGAGCTCCAGCACGCTGTGAGTGAGCTTATTCACAGCGAGACGAAGATTGGATAGATGCTCAACGATGCTCGTTCCTCCTGACGCCCAGCTGAGCTTGTGCAACATGACCCCGTCTGCGTGATGGCTTTGACGTTTGCAGCCAGAATAAGGGTGGAGAACTCGGGCGGAGAGACTAAGACGTTGCCCTTGGGTCCCAGTGAGAACGTGCCGGATTCAGGTCGATATGCGTTGATTTTGATCGTATATAGTCGGGCAACCCGAAATCACACGAACACTTGCCATATTTACGACCGTTTTCGTAATGAGTCGTATAGCGCCGTGCAAACCCCCAATATAATACTAATCCTGTCGATTTGGGTCGATGGGGATTGTCAGCAATTAATTGTGCTCGAGAAATTTCGGGCTGGGTAGTTTCAGGTCGTCTTGATGCAGAGCACGCCATTGATTGATATCCTGGGAATCTCTGTATTCATTCATATAGACTCATATGACTATGTGATACAATATAGCTACAATTGGGCATGGTTGCGGTCACTCGCTATACGTACCGAGCGTAAGTGCACTATTTCGCTGATGCGCTGGTAGAGGGGTAGAGACAATGGGACAATTCTTTAAGCATCAGGGGAGGAGTCGAGAGCTAGAGAAGGACAGTATGAGAATGTTGCACAGCACATGTATGCAATCGTAAGATACATTACTGTTTGTCCCCTCAAGCGACTGCGTGCGCCAGGTCGAACGTGAGAGGATGCGCTGGGAAGGTGAGTGCCGCCTCCATACCAGTAGCAACTTGGGTAACCACATACCTCCAAGAATGTTCGACATACATAACATAACATTACTCACCTAGAGTGGTGTTGCGACGGCAACACCATACACCACAACTCACCTTGTGCTCATACTCTAGACCACAATACACACCTTTATAACTCTCTCCAACCCCAACGTACCTTCGTGACACCATTGCACAGTGTCTGCGCTGCATTTTCACCCAGGGAGAACCGGCTGTTGGTCGAGCAGAAAGAAGAGAGGTTGCAGAATAGGCAGAGGACGGCGGTAGTCAGTGCAAGCAGCAACTCCACCACAATGACGTCACCATGTTTAGGGCAGGTTCCTACTGCCAGAGAACAGAGACTTCGTGTCTCCGGACCTTGCAGTACTTAAAACAATCACAGTAGAAATGTTTGGGAGGAGGTGGCTATTAACGGGGTTACGAGCCGACTACGGTAGGATCTAATGTAATCAGTGCCTCAGTGGGGAAAAGACTGAGGCACTGGTCGGCACGAACGTCGGTATAAGTGAGCGACGGGGAGCGCCCGCGACTGATGGTGGCGGGCGATAAGCTCGTCATGTGGGCGCAGGCGCTCAGGTACGAAACCCAACGTTCTCGAGACTTCGTCGGCGCTTGCACGCCAACAGTGGCATCCATGAGATGGTCCCATAGTGGGTGAAACCGTGGGAGAAGGCTGCGGACGCCTGGCTCGATTGTCTGATGGGAGCAGGCACTGAGAGGAGGCAGAAGCCTTACGCGGCAGAGAGAGGTCGGACTCGCACGCAATTCTAGAGACAGACACAAGCTAGGCTAAGGCCTTACGGGGCCACAAGCTAAGGCATTACGTAGCTACAGCTAGCTAGAGAGATACTAGCATGCATAGACATCATGCCCTTAGAGATATGTACGTCCGATCTCGCGACCATATGGCTAACACAGACGTCAAATGGGCGCTAAACACCGCCCATCCGACCTGAATCGACATAGCACGAGTATGTACAGCCAAATACGATCTCACACGCCCCAAATCGACCTGAATCCGGCACATTCTCACTGGGAGCTTGGGTCTTCACCACTTAGGCATGCCCTGCACTAGGTCGTTCACGCGTCTGTATGCGGGCCTATAATATGATGACATCAATAACATGACATGCATGACACACGACATATAAGTGTGGATAAATAGAGGGCAGGGCAGAAAGATAGTTGAAAGAGGCGGTAAGTTCAGCCTCCAAGACACCGAGGACCCTGGATGCCAGTGCTAGCGTGCCTTCCTATAAAGTGCATGAATCCTTCCAGGTTCCACGTCCTGTTTGCTCTGGACAATGCAATACGACCCGGAGAGGTCGCAACAAGAAGCCAATGATCTACCATAATTCTTCCATACAGTAACGTGATGGTACATGATCCAGACAGCCGGATGCTACTGTAGCGTGATACAAGTCGTCGAAGTGCGATGATGTGAAGGCAATCTAGGCATGTATTTGCATGGCACACATGCGGACAAGGGTCTACTGCTGGTCTGCAGTCTAGGCTGGCGACGTGGTGTCTGACCCGGCGTCGTTCTGGCCGGCGGGTTGTGGTGGCCAGGGCTCCTCGCCTTTGCGAATTTTGCCTCCGCTATCCTTCGTCTCGGGCTGTATCGGTAGAGTTATGAATTATGGGCACACTTGCAGAGGACGGGGCGACATACTTTGCGCAAGATCTTTGAACACGACGAGCGCAGAGGTCAGTGTCAAGACGAGTGCATTAAAGCAAGCCGAGTGCGTACTGTGCCTCGAATTTCCTACAGTGATGTGAAAGTCAGTCACGAAAGAACAACCTCCAAGAGTACTAACACCTGAGCACATACCTTCGCGTAGCCAACCACTTTCTGATTGAACGAAGGCTCATTGTGCTGAATTACCACCTTCTGCGCGACTCCTCCCGAGCTGGGTTGCGTCGCAGCTTCGTTCAAGTGTGAGCGTCTCAGTTACAACAGATGCGATGCTCAGAGCCTGTACCTTGCTGAGTAGGAGTAGTCACCTGAGTCGGCTGGACGGTCTCCGAAGGAGGCTCAGGGATGAAGTCCGTCGTCGGACGGTTCAAGCCGTCATTGTTCAAGTTCATCGAGCCGGTGGTCGCCTGGTGACCTTCAGGAGGCGGGGATGTGTTCGGACGTCGTTGAGTGTTATCGTAGGACATGTCGAGTGGATGGAGCAAAGACGAAGCAGCCTCTGGTTTTATATGCCGGCCACCGAGTGGAGAACTTGAAGGGTCTGACGTCACTGGAACACATCGCTCATAGCGGTCGCGACGCCGAGACGCGGGTTCCTTTCATCCTTCGTTGTGAACGGGTATGTTTAGATGGTCAACTTCTTTGTCTTGCGAGTACTGAAGTACTGAAGGGCGAGTGTGGGGATCAGATTTGATGAGCGTCGAACGTGAAATTGAGAGAGATGGACGCTCCATAGCTCGGCAGTGCGCACTGCGCGCTAGCGAGACCCGTGTATGTACGCCTCACCGTCGTGCTAGTACCTGGTGCTACTTTTCCTTCCCGCTCGCCGTCTCCTTGGCTGTCACAAATATCAATCCTCTCCATGCCAGCCGACAGATGACAATGGTCCGCGAGACAAAGCACCCTCGTCAAGTCTGCGAAATCCGTGCCGTCCACTACGACCAGGCGGTCCTCCACCAGTTCGTCACACCACGACCACCACGCTGATCGCGCAACAGATTTAGACTCCCCCGACGGTGATGTAGGAACTTCATCTCCATTTCCTTGTGTTGCACAAAGCGGGCAATCAAAATCCAAGTCCAAACCCACCGGGAAGCTAATAGTAACACCAAGGGGAAAGGCAACAGGAGACGAGCACCGCTCGCTCGAGCACGTCTTGCTCTCGATAAAGCCCAAATTTATGCAGCTTATCGTAGAGCAGAAGAAGAATCACGAGTACCGCAACTACAAGCTGAAGGAGACCGTGAAGCACATCTGGTTGTACGAGACGGCGCCCACGTCTGCTATCACGTACGTTCGTTCGTTCTCTCTGCTCTGCTCTATCCCTTCTCTCGTCCTATCCTCGAATCTGAATGCGTCTACGCATCTCCTCCCTCCCATTATGTCCGTCGTACGCGCTATTTTTGCTCACGACCTCTGCTATTTCCGCAGATACGTCATGTCTACCACAGATCCTAAGGCCCCAGGCGAGGTGCAAGATCCCTCCGGGGTCGGCAATGACGACTTTGATCAGGGCCTCATGTCCAAGTTCGGGTACCCCATCATCGAGCTCTGGAGGCTCAGGACACCCATCACTGCCACCCAACTCAAGGAGCACTTTGGTATCGCGTCATCCCAAGGATGGAGGTATGCGACGCGGAAGCTGGTGGAGGAGTTGCCGCTCCACGAGATGGACAAGCTGTTTTGAACGTACGCCCACCCGCCGTCGGGGCGTACTTTGAGGCTGGCTCGCTCTGATGTGCTGTTGTTTGTGCTTTTGCTGGCCTCGTTTGCAAGGATTGGTCCATGTACTATGTTACAACAAGGTATCCAGATGTTTTTGTTGCAGATCATGTCGGTGCTCAGCGAGAGGCCTATGGACATCGACTTCGCCTTCATGTCGTGTGCGAGCGGTTCAGGTCCCAACAATTCCTAGAACACAAAGTTCAATCCGTTTAGCGTTATGTAGCCTGCGATGAGCACGTCTGCGAACGTGAAGCTGTCGTTGGCCCTCCACTCAATGCGGGCCGAGGCCGGTGGCGGTGTTGCCGGCAAGGTGCGCCGCTGAGCGGCCCGATTGAGGCTGATGCAGACGTGTTCGTCTACTACACGACGTCGCGTTCTCGCAGAAACACTGGATTCCTCTCTGTAGAGGACAGGAAGACATGTCGTTGGCTACTCAGGGGGACGTTTCAAAGTCGACGGAGAAGAAATTGGTCGTCGCTCAGTTGAGTGGGAGTTTGCGTCGTATATCGCCTAGGACGCTGTCGATCCTCGAGGCTGCTGACTAGGGTATATGTGTTATAGCTTCATGGTCGGGAACACATACGTGAGTCTGTCGCTCAAGTAAATTTTTCTTAGGTTTGCTGATATCGGACGCGCCAGCCTTACAGCCTAGAGGATTGGAAGGAAGACATCATGCTTGCGAGTACCCACCATATGTGCGTCATCCCCGTGGCCGAATTGTCTATGGTCCGACGAATCGTGATGCAGAGACGGCTTCGCTCTCAACGTCGGACCAGAAGAATGGCAAAAGCGCTCCATCTCGCTATGCTATGCAGCCGCTCTCGCGCTGGGGTCGCCGTTCAAGCTGTTCCTCAGCTTCGACATGACGTGCGTAGGTTCGGCGGCGCGGAAATACGTGCCTCCGCTCATCCTGTCCTGTGTACAGCGTGATACCAGGAAATACGCCCGAGGACGTGCGGCTGCTGCGGGAGCACGTCGCGATGACTGCCGGGCATCCTCACCAGCTTTGGTACAGGGGCGGAGTCTTTGTCTCGACGTTTGCAGGGCAAGACCAGCTGTTTGGCTTCTCTGATCTGGAGGATGCATGGGCGCACGTCAAGGACGCTCTAGGAGAGATCGCACCAGTCAGTGGGTCTCCGCGCGCCGGTCTCCTGACACGGCTGATATGCTCGTGGAGATACATTTGGTGCCTTCGTTCTTTATCGACCCTCGACGGTATCCGCGTATATCCGCCATGGATGGCTACTTCAACGTCAGTTGTCCATGCTAATCACGAAGGCGGTAGATTGACCATAGCACGGCAGTGGAATGGCAGCTGGCCAATCCATCTCACAATCGACGCACCCAGGAAGGAGGTCGAGAATGCAAAGCTCGACACGGACTGCCATCATGTCCACCACCTCGGGGCTCGCACGTTTATGGCTGCGGTATCGCCCTGGTTCTTCACAGTACGTTTTTGATGTGTATTTCGGACTCTTGCGACGTCTCACGTACAGGCACGGGCAGCACTATGGACCTAATTCGTGGAACAAGAATGTGAGCCGTTCTCATGCGCATGTACAAAGGTGCTTGTACTGACGTCTCGCTGCTTAGTGGATCTACCGAGGCGACGACTGGCTCCTGATGAGACGGTGGGAGCAGCTCGTCGCGAACCGGAGCCAGATCGACATCGTCCAGATCATCTCCTATAACGGTACGCCGCTCTTCTTCCTAACTTTTGGTATGGAAGCATGATCACTTGTCTAGACTTCGGCGAGTCGCACTATCTTGGCCCAATCAAGGGCGCGCAGCCAAACTCCCAAGCATGGGTCGACGGCTACCCGCACACCGCGTGGCTCGAGCTCAGCGGGTACTTTGCGCGCGCCTTCAAGGAGGGCGCGTACCCTCCCGTTGAGAGAGATCGGATCTTCATGTGGTCCCGGCCGCACCTTAAGGACGCAGAGGCTACCGAGGACGAAGTACCGAGGCCGGACAGGTGGCAGTTGGTGAGTATGTAGCAGCTGTCCATTTCATCTGAAGTTAATGCCGTTGTGCTGTGACTATGTCCAGACCGACGATAAGTTCTGGGTCGTAGTCTTGGCCACAGGTCCTGCCGAGGTCCTGCTCGCTACTTCGGACGATGCGCCCGCCGAGAGATGGGTGGTCAAGAACGGCGTGTCGAAACTATCCCACCCCATGGTGGCTGGGGCGAGCATGAAGGCGACGATGGTCCGCGATGGGATCGTCGTGGCGGGATGTACACCTAGGCGGGATGGCTTTCGGGTCGAGAAGAGTCCGAAGACGTACAACTTCAACGTGTACGTTGCAGCGTCTCCGTAGGAAGCTAGGTCACTAGAGACCAAGGCGCAACCGTCCCTGCTGGTGCCAACTCTAGCCGACGGAGAGCACACCAGTGACAAACTCTGAGACAGACGTGCCTCGCACCGACAGAGCACAGAGGGCCATACACTCTCATGAGGTACGCGAAACTGGATCGTCTATTGCGACCGAGTGGTCCTCCACCAGGTTGCCAAATTCGGTTTGCGCGATGGATAGAGACTGCGCCACCGATGATGCAGGAATATCACCTCCTTCTGCGGAAAAGCGCGAGAGGGCATAAAGTAATACTTGGAGGAAGCACACGGGGATGCCGCGACAAAAGGGAAGGGCCAAGGAAGGATATGAGAGCCAACCGCTCGAGGACACCTTGCTTTCGACAAAGCCCGAGTTTGCAGCCCTTTGTAGAGCGTATCAAGATTGACGTCGGAGCATCGCAATCACAAGCTGAAGGAGACCGTGAAACATTTCTGGCTATACGAAACCGCGCCAACGTGTACGTTGAGTTTTTGTGTTCCTTTGGTTTTTCCTTTATCTTGGTCCTACTGTACTATCTCCGACGCCAGTGACGTCTCTATGTTTGCCACTTTCTCCCCTGGTCTATGTGTACAACGTATTGATGGAGAAACAAGTATCTGAATCTTAGAATTGGCTGGATGAATTCCGTCGGGAATGTATTTGATCACTGTGTTGTACTCGAGGTCAGAGTAAAAGATGCGCACACAGCTACAGTGACCAGTCATGGGGAAGTTGTTGCGGCATTGAACTTACAGGCGGGCATCCCAAGGCAACACTATCAGCCGGGGCTCGGAGTACCCAGTCGGACCCCTCTGATACAACCATAGTAAATGCATGATATTCTGCTGGAGAACACCAATGCCTTCTTTTTTGTGAAAAGGCAAGCGGCCTGCAAGTGAGTGAGCTACTTCTACTCGGACATGAATGCATGAATACAGTTTGCGTGTAGTAGATCTAGTAGAGAGGACTCCCCATCTGATCGACTCGGAGCAGGCGCCCGAAATTCGAACGCCGAGTACATCCATATCGACAACAGATAGTGACCTGCGAATCTACCACGGTGACCATCATGTCTTCGCCTTTCCAGGCTCTCTCCGTACTGCAAGACGAGCTCCTCAGTTGCACGAGGGCCCTTGAGAACCTCATCTCCCGTAACGTGGCCTCTCAGACACCCAGTCATCATACGTGGGTCCCAGTCTATCCTGTTTCACAAGGCCATACATATATCGCTGATGAAGTCCACTAATCGTCCTAGATGACATGTGTCACCTCATGCAGACGACATCGACCGCCATGAACGCCTCATTCAGCCGTGCCGATGGGAAGCTCCGCCGTTTCCGCAATTTGCACGTCTATATCAACGCGCTCCCAGACGGGCTCCTCCTTCGTATTTTCCAGTATGCGTCCGCCTTTGAGCTTGACGAAAAGCTCAACCTCATCGAAGTTTGCTGGCGTTGGCGCGATCTCTGTCTAGCTCATCCGCAGTTTTGGTCCGAGTTCTACGCCCGTCACCTACCCCGCTATGCTATCCCTCGAGCCGTGAGATATTCCCGCGACCACCCTCTCACCGTTCTCGTCAACCCGGATGACGAGATCAAGTCCAGGAAAGTGATATTCGCCAATATACAGTCCATCGAGCGTCTCCGCGTCATGTTCGCTATTCCACCAGGCCAGCGGAAGAACGCCTGGCTTGATAAAACCTGGCCGATGCTGCGCGAGCTTGATCTCGCTATACTGAACAATACTGTGGACGATGTCGTTCCGTTAACAGGACGATTTGACAAGCTGAGGACCTTGACATTAGAAAACGTCCGGTTCGCTTACTCTCCGCAGAATTATCGCAATCTGCGGACGCTACGAATAATGTCAGACTACGCTGACACCGGACACCGACCTTGCGGGCCCAAGGATGGTCTTCTAACCGATGCGCTGCGAGGATCTCCAAACCTGGAAATCCTCATGCTGAAGGATCCCCAAGCATCCATCGATGAAGTCACGCTCCCTCGCGAGGCTGTGATTCAACCCATCCACCTCCCTCGACTCCGGTCGCTGCATCTGATCATGTCGACGCAGAAGGCCACCCTACTCATGCGTCATCTCCGTACGTCCGCGACCGCGCTGTTATCCACAGAGATCCAAACACACCGTTGGCATTCGGAGCTCGGCGCAGACTACCGTACTTTCGACGAACGACCGATCCGCGACATCGACAAGACCCTGATGCTCGAGCTCCCCGGCCCCGAGTCGTTCCCGATCCTCGAGCGGCTCCAGTCCATCAGCATCCGTGACACCGACTATCACCGTGTCGCTGGGAGCCTTGAAGCGCTCGACGGCGAATACATCTCGTGGATCACGACGTGGAACCGTTCTGACGCCAGCCTCACCCACTTGGATAGCGAGGACCACGTCCCCAAGCTCGCGTTTAACATAGAGTACAAGAACAGCAAGGGGTCGTACTACGACGCGGATACGCTCACCGCGCCATCCTTTGACAATTTCGCTCGCTCGCTCCTGCGCTACCACGCGCCCTTCACCGAGATACGCGTCCTCCGCCTTGACCAGGTTGCGCATACCTATCCTTACATCCGCCAGCTTGCCCGTGCGGTGCCGCGTGTACGGACGGTGGTACTGCACAAGTGCGAGGCTCAAGCCAAGGTATTGAAGGCGCTCCTCAGCGGGGGTCCCCTGCCGGAGCTCACGACCCTCGGGCTAGCGAAGTGCACGATCTCGAAGGCAGACGCTGCCCAACTGGCTGAGATATCAGAGGACCTGCGACTGAAGCTGGTCGTGGTGCGGATCAAGGAGGATGATGCAGATGAGGCATGGATTGAGGTCGAGCGCATTCTGCGACAGGGCGCACTGGAGGTAGAAGTTCGCTACATGAAGCAGTGGGTGTACGTGGACGATAACGAGCATGGATGGTGGCGGAGGGAACGGCCGTACGCATAGTCATTTATTTCGAATACCCGTACTGCTCTGGTCCTGCCGAGTACAGGTGAGAAGTTTTACAGTCGGAGGCGACTTGAAGATCATGGAACTCTTCTCAAGAACGTCGCGCACGCGTGACGGTGCGTGGCGTGGAATGCAGCGAGTGAGGATGCTATCGTGTAAGTGATGTTGAACCAGAAGCAGGGCTCCTCCGTCCGACATAGGACACTGAATCGTCGCACTGAAAGCGCTTTAGGGTGTAGTGGAGACGCAACTAGAGACAGGCAAACAATTCACGACGTGCGGAATGTCCCGCCCTTCGCGCTCAATCTTGGACAATAAAATGGAGACGATCAGCTGCGGACATTCTTCGGGAAAACAGTTGCGGAAACATACCCCCATGCCGCTGTTGATCTTCCGTTGTCAGGTCAGTCGCTCCTGGTCGCTTTCGAGACGACCCGTCGACGCATGTACAATCAGCCAAACCACGTCATGACCATACCATGCAGAAATGCTTGCCTCGCAAACCCAGGATAAACCCGTGGCTGCTTGTAGAATTTGAGAGCGGACAGCATGTTGACATACATAGTGAGGTGAGACCAGGGCGGTTATGCGGAGTGGAACATGGGAAGGACTTAGATACATCTGAACTGTGGGGCACAAGTCTATTGATCCAAGGCGTTGCATGTCTGACAATGAGTTTCGGCCTCGTGAAAAGGGTTTATCGGTGCTTAGCAATGCGAGTCTAAGGCATACAAGGTCAGCTTCGAACGGCCACGGCGCAAGCACGAGAGGATCGTTGCCAGGGGCGTGGAAGCATTCATGACGGTTTAAGCTAGAGACTCGAGCGCAGGTGACAAGTCTGAAACATGGCATCTCATGAGCTTCGAGCAACAGACGTGATGATCTCACCAGGGAAAAGGGCCTGGGAAGTGAGTTGGAGTCAAAATTCGAAAGAACTTGTTTTCGGTGTCGGCATCTATGTCGGGACATCAGCACGCCCCAGGGCGTCTCGAAAGGGCCAGCTGGCGGTCCCGACGTTCTCTGTTCGTAGGAAGATACGGCGTCTCAAGATCACATCTATGCAGACTTTCGTAATGTCAAGGGGAAATGACATCCGCACGCAGAAGCATGCATATACGATAATGATACAGATAGATTCAATCCAACAGTAGCATCCAATCCAGAAAGCAATACATACTCAATGAGGTCATCAAGACAATTGCGCGACGCCCAACACGTATCGCAAAAAGAGCGAGTGTCCAGACTAACTTAATTCCCCACGATTACGCGTCGTCAAGCGCTCGCCATGACAACAGGAGGAAAAGGCTCGACCTTCGCCTTCTTCTTGCTCGGCGTGCTGGCACCCTTGCCCTTCTTCGAGTCGCCCACACCGCCCGTGCTCGATGAGTGCATGAGCGGAGGCGGAAGAGGCGGCCCGGGGGTGACCGGCGGCGCGTCTCCATCCACACCAGCGGATCCTGGCGGAAGAGGTGGCCCAGGAGCGGGCGCGGGAGGCTTGGCCTTGCTCTTCTTCTTTGCAGTGCTCGCTGAAGGAGCCGCTTTGTTGATGGTGCCAAGAGGCCCGATCTTCGTATGCGAGGGGCTAGGGGATTCGTCTGGAATGATGAAGACCTGAGTAACTTCGGTCGGGCCGACATGAGTGGGACCGGCGGTCGAGGGACCAGAAGCCGGGTTGACTAGGATAGATGGAAGGGAGGATGTGGACGACGGTGGGATACCAATGAGTGCACCTGTTGACTGAAGTGGATGACTTGGTCCCGGTGGTGGTGCAACGAGCGCGGAGGAGATCTCGGCGACGCGACCCTGATAGAACGACTTGAGCAGACCAATTTGATTGTCGACGGTGTTTGAATCGAGGGGTATGAACGGTGGAGGCGGCGGGAAGGGCGGTGGAGGTTCCGTAGGCTTCGCACTGTAACGGCGCTTCATTTGAGGGAGGTTTGTTGTGAATATGAACAGGGACGTACGTCGAAGGCCCCTCTTTGAGCCCGCCCTTCTTCCCTTTAAGTAGCCGCTTGGGTATTGTAAGACTAGAGAGCCCGAACTCATCGGCGATGCCAAGTTCTTTGAGACCAAAGAAGTCCTCGCCAAAGGATTCCGCGAAGTTGCCCCTGAACAAGCGACATAAACAAGAGCAACAATGGAAGTGACAAACACATACATGACGAATTCGCCTTCTTCCTCCTCACCTTCCATACGGAAGAGGGCTTCGTCATCCCAGGCCTCCTCAGTGGTCTACACAAACAAGTAAGATACGAAGATGGGTGGTGACGGAATCGCAACTGACCGCCTCTCGGTATGCGTTGCCTAACTTCTTCTCGAGTTCCGTTAGTCGCCCGCCATAGCGTAGAACGTCGTCTTTGATGTACCGCTCGAGATCGGTGACTTGTGTGATACCGCTCTCGAAGAGTGTATGTAGTATAATTTCCTATTGCTGTACTGTCACGCAGTTGTGACGATCTCAAACAGGAGGGACGCACCTCAGCAGTCATCTGATTTCCATACTTATCGCATATGAATCGAATCGTCCGACCGACATTCTGCAAGTATTCCGCGGTAACGCTCGCAAGGGTATCCAACGCCATCTTCGATGTCCCCTGGAAGCCTACATGTTCAAGGACCTTGCTTCCCATCCAATGCAAACAATTGGTCGCATTCTCCTCGCCCATGTCGATGCCTGCTCCCGTTGGCTTCCACGGCCGCTCATCGATTACATCGTCTAAATCCGCCTGTATGTCATGAATGGGGAGTTCAGCAACCCCAACATTCTCCTCTAGGCTCTGGTTGAGCGCCGTTAACTTAGCATGTGTTGTGCGGACTCTCCGGAGCGTGCGGATGTTGTTGTTCATGTGGTATAAGAGGGTGTCGGGTGACGTTGTTTCCTTCTTCTTTTTCTTCTTTCGGCGCATTGAACTCCGTGGAGAGTCTGTGATTGCATTGGAGAACGCTGGCGATGACACATCATCGCAGGCGGAAAGGGTAAGCGAGGGTAGGCCGTTGGCGAGCATCTCATCGGAGCACATGGCGTCCCACCACATCTCGATGACGTCCTTGTCCGCTGGGCTCTGGCTATGCATCCGTGCACGCTTGCGGGGTCGATCATCGACGAAGCCGTTCCTGAATGCTGTCAGTACCAACCCCACAATCGACGTCGGCTCGCACGCACAACTTCCGCTTCACACCAACCTCCCCATCCACCGTACTCAACGCTCCATCGGGCTCTGCGTCGTCTTCTAACCGCACGGCGTACCGCAACAAGCGCTCCTTCAACTGCTGCACAGTGGGATCGGTCTCTTCCGACACAGGCGTACGCGAAAGATACTCATCGACATCGCGCTCGAGCTGCAGGAATGTCCTCATGCCTGCTTGCGTGCGGACATATGCCGATGACTCCGGGAACGTGGTGTCCCGCTGGATCTTCTTCGACTGACCGGGCAAAGGAGCGGCTTGCTTTGTCGGGCTGGGCGAGCGGAAGACGGAGCCAGGGAAATGATGAGACGTTCCATTTAGCGTAATGCCGTTGACCCGAGGAGTGATGCCTCGGAAGGGTACCTCGCCTGGGATAATGGGATCGGTGCGCTCCTTGTAGTCTGTGATGTTCTTGAGCAATCTTTCCGCCTTGGCCTTGAGTCTTGAGGCACATTGCCGAAGAGGATGGTCCTAATGATGATGTGCAAACTGAGTCATCTCGAAATATGACAACGCGCGATTCGCGGAAGATATGGGACCCCTTGACAAAGGTAGAAGAGGGGCGCCATGAGTTCAAGAGAACCTCAGGTACGTCCTTACGCATGCACGGGCAGCACGTTCACTGATCCTGAGAGATGATTCTCCGCACCTCCCTCGTGCTGACACGCCTGAAGGTATTCACGTGTCTTCGGAAGGAGGTGTCGCTCATACATGGCCCCATGCTTGAGGGCTTGAACGAACCACTCACCTCGGTCGCGTTGTACAAGAAGCAATTGGACCATATTAGGTCCAGATCGTCCTTAAACTCCTTCTTGCACTTGTAGTGCCGTTGCTTAACCTTCTTGAGCATGGTCTGGAGGTCCATCGGGTTCGTGATGACTGCTCTGCCACTGAACATCATGATCGGAGAATGGGAGCGCATATACACTCACTTTCATAGTAATCCGGTACCTCAGACTTCGCCACTGGTTTCAAGAAGGCCTCTGCGTCGCGATTGTCCTATGTATGCGCATGAACTCACGTGAAAGCATAGCTGTGGCTGAGACCGTCCCCACCATCGTGACCATGCGAAGGTCATGGAGGAGACCCTCCAGAGAATCGTAGAACGCATCTACAAGTTTCTGAGGGTCACTCGAAGTCCTCTGGAGACGTTTCAGACCAACTCCGACTAGGCATGATGCTAGCCACTTACCCGGGTTTCCTTGACGGCGCTTAATAATAACTTGAGCTCAGATTCCGGTAACGAAGACTTGACTTGGCTTGCAGTGAGAGTCCTGAGGAGGTTCTGCACGCTGGAAATGTTAGCAGTGACAATATTGGATGGATGGCAAGATGGCGTACGTTCATAGTCGACCCATTCGCGAAGACGGTGAAGGTAGCGGAACAAGATGTATATTTAGACTCCGCTCATAATATTCGCGAGATGCCGAGTAACTGGCCTAACCTGACTTACGCGGACTTTGTTTCTCATTGTCGGGATACTGGCGGAGAATGAAACGGCGCGTCGCGCCTCGCGAGGTCGCGCTTGGCATCGTCTGCCACAACCACCACAACCTCTTGCCACTTCCACCCGGCTGATGCTTCGATCCTGCCCTGGGTAACGTTCTCTGACAATAGACTGAACAGAACTCATGAGCGGACTCAAAAATTCGCCATTCGGGAAACGCTTACGCGGGGCCGCCGACGACAGCCCCAAGAAAACTCGCGGGCGATTCAACCCCGTGTTCCCCGTGGCTTCAGCATCTACCCCTTCGTTGGACTCCAGGCCCGGAACGAGCGAAGGTGCAACGCCTGAGAGCCCAGAGCGAAACGTACATAAGGACTATGGAGACAGGTTCGTCCCAATACGCGACGCCGGAGACTTGCGTACCACGTTCCACCTCATGGACGACGCGACGCCCTCGACGCCAAGTAAGAGCCGTATCATCCCCACCGAATCCGACGCGATCAAGGAGCAAGCCAACTCCGTTTTCGGCAGTATACTGCACAACGAAATTACCCCCGGTTCCCCGCAACGCCCCGGCTCTCCTGTACGCCCTCCTACAACAGCCACCGCCAACCCGCCTACCACACCAACCCGTCGCCGCTTGTTCGCATACCACTCTCCGTCCCGCTCAAATCCTGCTACACCCTCTCGGCGCTTAGATGTGCCGACGGACGAGGCGTACTCATTGAGTCCGGTCCGTGCGGAGACCCGTCATCTGCTAGAGAGCCCGCGGCGACAGCTTCGGAGCGTATGCAAGACCCCATACCGCGTGCTGGATGCCCCGGAGCTGGCGGACGACTTTTACCTCAATCTGGTAGACTGGTCCAGTACGAACGTGTTGGGTGTGGGACTTGGGTCGTGTGTGTATCTGTGGACAGCACATACGGCGCAAGTGTCGAAGCTATGCGACCTCGGCAATCTACACGATACGATCAGTTCAGTGTCATGGGTACAGAAGGTAAGCTGACTTAGCCACCGGAGGCACTCATTCTGCGACATTGTTCGACGCTTTTGATTGTCTGAACAATGACGCCGCCCTCCCCATCAGTCTGCACACTGAGTGGTGGCTGTGGTCTTACATCATTATTGTCAGAGACAGAATGTTGACGAGTGTTGCAGGGGACGACTCTGGCTGTGGGCACATTGTCTGGACGACTGCATATATACGACGCCAACACACTGCAGTTGACTCGGACGTACGAGCGCGCGCACGCTCAACGCATCGGCGCGCTGTCATGGAACTCGCATATCCTCAGCTCGGGTTCTCGTGACCGTATGGTGCACCACCGCGATGTGCGAGAGGCTGGGATGCGACCGTTCAAACGATGTCAAGGGCACCGACAGGAGGTCTGCGGCCTTCGCTGGAGCGGGGATGGAGGAGCACAAGCGGCGACGCTAGCCAGCGGAGGCAACGACAACAAGGTGTGCATCTGGGACTTACGGGGGTCTAAGCGGCCTGGCGGGCTCGGCGGAACCCAAGGACGCGTCGGGAACGTCCCAGGGAGTTCAAGTGGTGGCGACGACGGGGACACCCCATTATGGAAGTTCCATGAACACACGGCCGCCGTCAAGGCTCTCGCTTGGGACCCGCATGTATCCGGTATCCTCGCGACGGGAGGCGGTACCGCCGACAAGCACATTCGTTTCTGGAACGTACAGACTGGTACAATGTTGAGCGAACTCGACACCGGCAGCCAGGTAGGTCATGGAAGTCTCCGGTGGCATAGATCGTTACTAACCGAGCTGTAGGTATGCAATCTCATCTGGTCCTTGACATCGCACGAAATCGTCTCCACGCACGGGTTCTCGTCAACGACCGCGCAGAATCAGATTTGCATCTGGAAGTACCCGACGCTCGATATGGTCGCCTCCCTGACTGGCCACACGCACCGTGTCCTGTACCTCGCCATGAGTCCAGAGGGCGAAACGATCGTGACGGGTGCGGGCGACGAGACGCTGCGGTTCTGGAACGCCTTCCCGAAGAAGGAGAACCACCAGGCACGGCAGGAGAGTCGACTGGACTACGGTCGTCTCATTCGTTGAGTTGGATAGGTCGCTGGCATACTCTCGTCGCTTATCATTATTGCGTATCGGTTCTACGTTGCGGATACAAGCTCGTTCTCTCGAGTACGTCTGTTCATATCGTTCTAGTGCCGGCTGCGCCGGTCAGTTACTCTATCCTCCCTCCTGGCCAACGCAGCCCGCTACCGGACAGGCGGAGTGTCGATCAATATACAGTACCATCTTGTAGTCATCTTGGCTTCTTCCGCGGCCATACGGTCCTTTCCATCTGCTACTCTATCACTTGACGCTGCCATCTAGTTGAACATGGACGCTCTGCACCTATCATCTACCACACCATCCACATCCCATTGTCCATAGGTCTCCATCACTGTACATCCGACCCCTCCGCGGTCATAATATCCACTTGCTCTGTCCCTCGTGTATCGGAAATGACTTTGTCGCTTTCATGGTGGTTTTGCTCGCCTATGATTCACCCATGTTTCATTCCCTACTCCCATTTCCCTTCCGCCTCTTCTTGCTATGTCGGATTACTACTGATTAGCTGTTGTCGCTATACGCTTCCTCCGTCTCATATTATCTTTCCTCCTATCCTCGTCTCTCCATCTTGTATGGCTCCTCATGACTTGACTTGTCATCTGCACGCATGCCGTTCCCTTTCTGTCCCATTGTCAATATCAGTCTTACTCGCCTTTGTACGGTCAAATTCACAGTCCATCTTGTCTCCTTAATTCCGTTCCATGTGTCGTTTCTTCCGTACCTACAGACCGCACACGTACGTACAGTACCCCCATGTGTATCGTATATCGACATCTCACATCCCTTTTTCCCGGCACATAGGATTCCGCGTACACTGCTGCTCTTTGTCTCGCCACTCTCATCTTGATCTCGTATGTTGCAATACCACACACTGTATACAGACATTTATACGTCGGGCCTCGACCAGGTAGCACCAGCCGCTACCCAATCACATAGATTCTAGGTGTGTCTTCCACGGTGAAACACTCGATGAGGCGCTGATTCTACGCCACGCTCGCCTTGTATTCAGATGTTGTTGAATGCTTAGCCTTCATGTTGGCTAGAGGCAGGTAACGTCGAGGCGTGGCTCTCGCGAGCGCGAAACGATGGAATAGTGTACCGTGCTCGATGCGGACACGAAGAGGTGCAGCATGACCCTCATGCGAGTGCTCGTGTGACATACGGCTAGCTTTCGTCGACCCTGTAGCAGGGACTGTAGTTGTTCCTGCCCTGCCCTGTTTGGCATGCCCGAGGTACGCCAGGCCGGATCACTTGCAGAAAGCTCGCTGCGGAGCTACGTTTCGGTAAGCCTCGTGCACAATGATCACGATATCTCACGAATGAACGTTGACTCTCACAACTCGTGCACTCTAGGCAGGTCGCTCCCATCGATAATATAGTTATGCGAGCTGTCAAATAGTCAACGTACACTATATCGGATGCCTGGCTTTCAGTTTGTGGCGCAAAAGCGTCAGACAGATCCCGCCGTATGACGATGCGTGCCGCCGCAACCTGACTGCCTGACGTGTTACAACGCGCGAGAGGAATCGTGGGTGTCGGACGCAAAAAGTGCAGCTTGGAACGCTTTTGGGTGCCACTTGCCGAGAGACTGTGAGCCTTCAGAGCACGTTCTTCCCGTTGCTTTCGTGATTTTCACATTATCGTGATCCGCGCCGCCTTTGCAGCATGAAACGCCATGTAAGGCTGGTACCATATTCCAGTGGATGGATGTTGTCAGTGTGTTTTGGCGTCGTATTCTGGAGATCACGAAACGTCTCAGTAGGCTTCTTGAGTCATCAGTGTTACAAATCCAGCAAGCATGAGGCAGCGCCTCAGACCAGCACTTGTTGGGTTTCGGACAAGATACCTCCGTGAAGCTCCACCATACCCTCTGCACATGTTGAAAAGTTCATGTATGAACTTCTCGTGCCGCCAGTTGTATGGTGTGCCCACCTACGTCGTCGACTCCCTGAAAGGTGACGAATCCGATAGCTTCAGGAACTTTGGACAAGACACGCAAGGCTACCGCAGATGTAATGGACCGAGTCATTGCATGCCACTCACTAAACGATTCAGTACTCAACCCCAGTCCTGGGGACAATTAACCCGGGAAGGTAGAATAATCGGGTATACAAGGTCAGTTACCGGACTTCCACATCCGTCACCGCTTCCTATCGTATCGATCATCTTTGCGACGCCCTATTAATTCACTTGTTTGTCTACCTGCTCGAAGCTGGCCATGGTTCCGTCGTGCGAAGGCGGATCGCCTGTCGCTGTGGTCTCCATGCTCGTCCCAATCGGCGTGCTGGGGTGTTTGCAGCCGTAGACTTCTTTTTCACGGGGTTGTCATCGGACTGACCTAGCTTGCCTATGACGACGACTCCCCTGCATCAATTTGCATACCCACCTGAAGCCACGTCACTCCTATATGCATATGCACATACTTTCGCAAGCGTTGGAGGGGTTCCACAACCACTTCCTCTGCCTCGAGGCATAGCATCGTGGATGCGGAGGTCCCCTCGGGTTTGACCAGGTAAGCTATAGCCCTCTGACTGGTTACGAAAGGTCGTGACTGGCCTGCTCGCTGGAGGCCGCAGAATCGAGCTCAGCTCATCCTCGTTAGGATCTGCGCAACCTCGGACTTTCGCTACAAGATGATGGAGGTGATCCGAGCAGCGCGCGCGCTCTATGTGAACGTCAGTGCCAATTGTGGTAATCGAAGACAAGATTAGTCTTGACATCGGTTCAACCGCTTCATACAGCATCGGTGCGCATGTTCCAACGAGTCAGATCGTTTCGTGCTAACAGTGTTGATAATGCGTGTCTCCGAGTCTACAGCTCGCGCATGTCCCACTAACTATTCGAAATGTGGGCTAAGCAATGTCCCGGGGAAGGACGCTCGCAGCAGCTCTGCTCAGGGTTTGACGTCGTTCCCATGCAATGTGTCATCACATTGGGTGATGTCGGGCAGGCATGATCGTCGTGAGCTAGTCTGACAGCGCCCAGGGGGAAAATTATACTCAAGCTCTGGTACTCCTCCCGTGACATTTGGGTGCCTTTCGGCCAATCCCCCTTATATCCTTTCGCTCGGACGTCTTTTGCTTCACCCCTATCACCCACTATGGATCAGGGGACAGAATGTCCCAACGTGAACTACGTAGCAGCGCAGACGCTACAATCACAAGCCACAAATCTCAACAACTCATTGATCATCGTGTTTCTCTCCACATTTCTTCTGGGTACGTGGCATTCATCTCGATGCTCTCCTATTCACGCCCAGTGTTCACTGTGCGGTAGGTGTCCTCACGGTCCTAACGGGGACGTCCCTGTACTTTCTAGCGTGGGCACTCTTGTTGATCTGTCCTCGGCGACACCAGCTCATATCGTGATCTCCCAGATCTAAGGCCTCAAAGAGAGTATCAGTGATACTGATGATCGCCAGCACTCTCCTGCTCTACGCGTCCACTGCGACGTATTGCGGGGGTATTGTGCATATGACGGTGGCAAACAATCGTGTTGCTGAAGCGGCTGCGAATATGCTCTTCTCCGAATCATATATGGCTCCCTCGGATGGCGGACTTTCCCCGCTGACTGCAGCGTGGATCGCGACAATGTCCCTCACGGTGAACGTAAGCGCAACTATTCGCCACCCCTGGATACTCTGAGATTAATATTATTACCTGCAGGTCCTGATCGGCGATGCGATCGTGTGGTGGCGTGCTTGCGTTCTGTGGCGAAGCAGGCTGATGTACTGCCTGGGACCCGCGATACTAATCATCGGTCTTGGTCGGTTCTACATACTTCGTGATAAACGCTGAGCCTGCTGCTAATGGACGGATGCAATTTGACATAGCGCTCGAATTGCTTGGTGCCACTATACAGGCAAAAACAGAGTCGCAGGTCGTGTCATACATTCCCGACATAATGGGTGCTCATCCATATGGAGCCATTGTGACCGGACTCTCCCTCATCATCAATTTGCTGGCCACGAGTCTCATTGGGATCAAGGCCTGGTGCGTGCTACTGCTCTCGGTCACAGCACCCATTGGGCGATAGTTGACCACATCCTCATTCGCAGGCGACACAGAGCATCTCTGCAGGGACACTTCGCAGATAATACTGGGCGACAGTATGTCTTGAAGGTTCTCGCTTTGCTCGTCGAGACTGGTGTAGTATATTCCGCAACGCTGGTAGGCATTTTTTGCCTCAAACGACTGGAGGCCATGGATTTATGACTTTCAGATCGTCTCGACGGTATACTTGGCGGTAAACCAAGTATCGAGTCGACCAGGCCGCGCATTCTCTAATGGCTATGAAGTGTTCACTTTTGGATGTATAGTCCCTATGATTGTAAGCAAGCGAACCATCGCGGATGACCAAGGGTTGACAAGACAACTTTGGAATAGGCGATATACCAGATGCTGATCATCTTCGTCATCGCCCTCGACCGTTCTCAACTAGAACACACAATCCAGCAAGACGACGACTCGAACGTGACTTTGACTCAGGTCACTGGGGCCGTCTCTGTCACCGAGTCTACTGAATGGGGAAGCGGATATACAGTAGACCGCAGCACATCCAGAGGTTGGGGGAAAAGGCCTTAGGTAGTGCAAGTTACTCGACTCACGAAAAACTGACGATCATTGGGGGCGAGACACGGTGGCACTGTGATATGAGACGGATTTATCGGACCTCACTTATAATACTTGTACGCCCTCTGCCGTTGCACCACCGTAATCTTGTACCGTACTACGTTCTGCGCTTAAGACACCATGTTTAGCTCCGCGAAACACCAACAACATGGCCCGCCACCTCACACGTCAATACTACATGCAAGTCGGGTGGAGAATGTCGCCCATAGCAAGAAGTTGATGGCACGACATAATAGCCACACGCTTTCCGCCACAACAGTAGCCGAACGCCATACTGGTCCGATTGTTGTACAAAGTCTGGTGCAACTCCTCGAACTCAACGTCACAATCTTGGTCAGAAGACATGCAACATAGCTCCAATCCATGTCTCTGCGACACGTCCATGAGGTCCCCCTCGTCCATATCAGCCTCGTAGTTTAGCAATAGTCAGATGCTCGTTCATCCATACCACCTTGCTGTGAATCGTCCGTGGAAGAGATGACGAGAAGATGCCATCGGCGATACTATTGCACCCAATCAGATACAGGATACATTAGGGTTAGGGTTAGTACATCGCAAAATCAAAAATAAACGGCCTGCCCAGCCCGAGGGCCGAAGCAGGACAGGGAAATATTGAGACGGTGCACGAGCCGAAGCCCGTACAAACCGCAGGATCCCCCTGAGGACAAGGTCGCCTAGTCTCGTTCCCATCCGTTCTGGCGCTTACACACAGTACCTGAGAGTACCGCCAGAACGTCTGGTGCATTTGGGGCTCGGCAGAGGGTACCGTGACTGTCGGATCACCGGTCCATAGTCCGAGTGACCGAGTCACATCTGGCAGGAGGTGCCGTGCAAGCTCCGAGGGGTTTAGACGCCCATTAAGACGGACAGTTGCGCACTCATTCCGTCGGTCTGCGTCCCGTTGTCTCCCTATTATGCTGGCTGAAGACGAATTCTTGGCTTTCGACAACGATCTCGGAGACTTTGACCCCGATTATGACTACCTAGACTCCTACAATGAAGATTTTGATCCCACACCACCTCCCCTTGCCGATCTCTCTCCTCGCCGCGCACAAGATGCCCGCTCTATGCTATTCGAGAACTACACTCAGACGTTGCGGGATGGCCTTGGAGCTGGAGGAATGACTCTCGAGGATCGTGTTCTGGCATGTATCACCTATATGAATACAATGGGCATCAATGTTGAGCTTTTCATGACTGCACTCTTCTGGGGAGACCACGGCTGCATTGTCAACCCGAAGATTCGACACGAACGCACGGTGTTTATGAATAGCACCTCCCTTCGTTCTATCCTGGAGCGCTGGTGGAATCCGCCCACG